GCACTGTGACTTAATACAGCAGAAAACCGCAGTGGTTTGAAAAGCACAAACAGAACGGAAGTGAGTGTAAATCACTTAAGCTTTTGAGAAGTTTGGTCAATGGTATGCAAAGCATGCAACCAATACGAGCACTACAGTAATAGCAACAGAGACAACAACAGCAAATAAAACCGCAGTAACTGCACAAGGAGCCGATACATACAAAGCGCGAAAATTGTTATTTATGAAGCAACGTGTCATTGCGTGTTACCGATGGTGGGTGTGGCGATTACAGCTTCCTGAAGAAGCACCACAGTCTGTTGTCTGTGCACGGTCTTTGGTAGTACATAAGTATATATGGACGTCCATACGTACGCATATACATACACATACATACATACATATATATATATATGGATGTCACAGTTGGCTGCTGTGTCAAGTAGGCGCACCATGAAATTGCCACAAGGCACGAAATGTACAGATTTAATTAGATTTTGCGACGCAGCCGTTATACAGTGTGAGATTTTGCCAACCTAGGGCGTCAAATTTCAATTTTAGCCAAAGTGTTAGAGATATCAACTGGAAACTTGGCATGATTTTTAATAAGAACATATGATTCAATACGGTTGTGAGTAACTAGTTCCAGCTAGTGTCAAAGAGGACTAGTCCCGTACGATCCCTAAAAAGACTAGTTGGAGATACTTTTTATCGATTTAAATTTCATATTATTATTTTTTTTTTTTTTGTAATGAGTAGAACTTTTTGATATTGCTCGTAGATATCCAAACAGCTAGCGCTCTCAGACGGCCATTTCTATAACGGCTATGACGGCTATATTTCTATTATCAAAATGTGCTTTTCAACTGCTTCCAACTCTTCAGTTTTCACCTTACCTAACCAAACTAAAAAAAGTGTCCCGCGCGATATTTCACTCATGCTGAAAATATGTACCGAAAATGAAAAAAGGCGAAAATGAGAGTCATAACATCAGTTTTGAGAATAAGGTACTTTAAAGAAGTATTTTTTCCGGAATAAAAGCAAAAAAAATGTATCACAAATGTTGCGCAAATTTAAAGGGAAGTGCATGATTATTTTGAAAAAAATATAAAAACTATAGATTAATAGGACCTTTTTTTATACCAAAATGGCCGCTAAAACAAAACGAGGGTGAAAGATTCTTGAAATTTTGAATTCCCAGAATGCCCATATTTCCCTAAAAAAAACTAAAAAACCTCCCAAAATATTTTTTTCTAAAACGCTGTGCGTTGTGTGCATTCGACTGGAATTCGATATAAATATATGTATGTATGTATGTGTGTATGTCCATAAGCATGTAATATAACATCGAGCTCCGCAACCATTATGCGGTTGGCATATTTGGCCAAATACAGCATCAAATCAAGTATCGGTAAGCCTGTGGCCTAGCGCCATATGATGCCGATTGAAGTGTAGCGCAGCGAAGGGAAGGTATAAATAGATATTTATTTATGCAAGGTACAGGACAATCTATAAACGCAATGCGCGTGTGCTCAGACCCTTAGAGTCTGTCTACAAAAAAACTGGCACAGCAATTTGAAGTCGTTGTGTATTCAAGCGTGATAATATGCACGTCATCGTCCAGACGCACAGCTGGCTACAAAGTTGGCTTCTATGTACTTCCCTGCCGGAAAATCGCGGACTAGTGAATAAAATTGCTAGTTCCGTACAAGATATTTATCGCCAAAAACGAACCGGTCCGATAGTAACTATGTATATCGCCACCAGTTCAAAATCAGCCAACTGTGGTACTATTAAAAAAACTATTTGAAATCTATATCTAAGGTGACGAACTTAAAACTGGTTCGGAATAATATAAAAAGGGATGCAGAACGAACTAGATATTATCTGTCGAATTTAGAACTAGTTTGGAACTATCGAAAAAGGGATACTTTACATAGATAGGTGTTTGGCGACTTTTTCGTTCAAATGCACTTTTATTCTGCACTTCACAGATGACTTTTCATAGTTTGGCAATAAAAAACAAAAGTTTCTGTTAACATTTTAACATCTTGGGACCGTCTGGAATCTAACCAATAACCGCGAGCACCTCTGCAAAATCAGCCACAGCCAAAGGTATGTATGTAAACGTACATTTCTCACAATCATTCAAACAAATTTAATTCGAATTGAAAAAACATTTAAATAACATGAAAATAATTAAAAATCGCGCAGGGAAGAACCGAAAAATCATGATAGTTTCGATAGTCTTTCATCTGTCGCTTTTAGAACTGGTTCGGAACTATAGAATTTAGGACTGGTTCCGAACTATCGAAAAACGGATGTAACGGGGGGCAATTGAAACTTCCTAGGACATCGCCATGTTAAATTCGCCAGTTGTTTGCATGCAAAAGAGATTTATCGCGAACCAGTACTGGGTCTAAATGTACCAGATGCCCACCAGTTCAGAACTAGAGATTTTCTCCACAGGGTTACGACACATACAAATGCATTTTGCGAGAAGAATATTAGAAGTCAGCCTAGTAGAAAATGTACATATATATGTATATACATACATAAGAATCGTCCAGTTACGAGTCTTTTGGAAAATAACTTTAAATTCTATCCTGCGGCAACACGTGAAATTTAAGTCGAGGGAGTGTTGAGCTCCTCAGATATTTTAAGAATTACTCTTTATTTATGTAAGTACATTTTCAAATTATGGTAACTAGTGTGACGAGATGCGAATAACAAATTCGCTGCTAAAAACGATAAAACTGCTAGAGCTCCAAATATAGTAGAAGCTACTTATTTTTTTTACCTAAATCCACACATTATTGTTGCTTTATTATGCGTATTTGAATTTTTTTTTATTTTAAACAGCTGGAAGTGTATGTGAGTTGCTTTTGCCGTTCTACGCTTGTAGTACTGATTTGACGAAAAACGGTCAGTGCGGATACCGCTTCTTCTTCTTGTTTGACACTGTAACAGCTATTGAGTTTATTGAGAGAGAAATATAAAACTACATCAACTAAGAAACCCAGCCAAGTGAAAATGAAAGAGTCCGCCCACTGAGTCGCCGAGGTACATAAAATATCTTCGACTTTTTAGGAAATAACAATGGCCACATAAACCCTCATATATATGCCTCATTCTCAATGCCAAATGCACAGCTAAACTGCTAAGAAGATTTGCAATGCAATGTGTACACGCAAACACATACACGTTCCTAAGAATGAAGAAAGTTTGAATGAAAGAAAATCAAAAGCTCACTACTAGTTGCTTGTCATATTGGTAAGTAAGACTCGAAAGTGCAATTGATATGCAAAAACAAACAATACTTGGCCCCATTGTTTCCACATTTTATGCGTTGAGTTTCAATGATGTCGAGGTAAACAAGTTAGACCAGTGTGGGCTGATAGCGTGGGCGGTATTTCAACGATTTTACTTCAGCCTAAGTTTTCAGCTTAAAATTTCAACGTATTTTGGCGAATTTGTAACAATGTTGGTTAGTAAGTACCAAGGCTTTAAATACGGACGAAATGAACAAGCTACCAATTCCCTTTTGAGAAAATTTACGAGAATTGAGAATGAGCGAGAAATTGGATTTGCTAAAGTAAAGAACTAAAATCATGAAAAGTGTCAAGCGATTACTGGTTGACGTTTTTACAGACAAAATGCTTTTTTTGTTCCCGTACTTTTTGTTGTTACTCTCATTTTACTCTCACTCCAGAGAGTAGTTTTGCTGCTTGACATTTTTACAGGATTTTAAACGACGAACCAGATACAACAATATGGCAGTATATAACGCCTTGTGAACTCCCTAGTGAATTAGCTAGTTTTCAATATGCATCAATTTGTTTGTAGAACTTTTTAATTCGTTTGTAGGAGCCTCTGAAATTCACAAAGTCGAATTTTGAATATTTATAAATTTAAATTATACAAACAACTAACAGCCGGTTTCACCAGCAATTTAAATGGAAAATGATTTTTTATTTTCTGTCAGTTTCCTTATAAAATTCAAAAAATTAAAATAATTTTTCACATAAATTGCTTTTGTGAAATTGGTGAAATTGGCTGTAAGAGCCGGATTCACCAGCAATAGAAATGGGAAATGATTTTTTATTTTCTGTCAATTTCCTCATAATACAAGGATCGGATCTAAACCAAATTGGTATCAGACCACCCCGGTGGTTTCATCTTTCCTTTAAAAAAAAAAAAGCATTGTAGAAATCGGTTAACGTGGTCCAAAGTATACTTAAGAATTGAAATAAAAAATTTTAATTCATTTTCCCTATGTTGCATTTAATTCATATCTGATATCCGGAGACCTAACGAAAAATTCGGATATTTTGGATATCTGATTATTAGAGTTGGGAAATTTAGTTCATTTGAGTGAACCGTTCACTTGCAGTTCGTTCACCTTAGTGAACTAGTTCTTTAGTTCTTATAGTTCATTTAGTTCACTATTTCATTTAATTCAATTGACGAATACATTTACGTTATTTTAAACAAAGTTCAATTATTTTTATTATTTTACATACAAACCAAAACATTTGGTAATTTGAATTCACAGAATACTTTTACATACACAAAAAACGTATGTTTAGGAACTTAAGTCTTATAAAAATTATTCAGCCTTTTTCATTGGATGGCATATTTGTACTAATGGTCATCTTCTTAGCATTATTGTTGTTACACAAAAATATTTTGTTGTGTACGTAGCTTATTTCATTTTAACATCAATCACTTACAGAGTTTTCGTATAAATACAATACAAATAAACGAGTATTTTTATAAAAAAAAACTTTAACAAATTCATAGAATAAAAACATATGCATGCACATATGTACGATACGTAAAGACTTACATATTGCTGTGCAAAAACATTAAATTAGAAAGCTTGTTGGATTTTAAAAGAGTTCTACGCTCGTTTAATATTTGCCCTGCCCCCGAAAAAACTCGTTCGCATGGAACTGAAGTAGCAACAATGCAAAAGCGTTTTAAAACGTATTTGTAAAGATGGGGATACACGTCTTTACGTTCGTGCCACCACTTTAATGGATCCTGCTTGCGGTTTAAAATATCCTCATTAAGATATTTATCCAATTCGCGCAAACCAGCAGCAGTTGTATTTTCAGGTGTAGAAATATTTCTAATATTTTCATCATATTCATCCCAGATATTACTTTCTATTCCTACATCCGCAGTACTAGTAGCGCGAACTTCTAATATGCCAACTTCAGTCTCAGTCGTCTCAATATTCTCAATCTTACGTTTTAGATTGTCAATAGTTACAGAACAAGCTCTTTCGTCTTTGAAAATTTTTGCTTAAATCGAGGGTCAAGCATAGTGCATTCTGCATATAAAGAATTCATTTCCAAATTTCTGAATCGAGCTTGCATACCTCTCTTTAAAGACTCTTTTAAAGCCACTACTTTTTCATTTTGACATGAATACTTCAAAAGAAAATTTTGAATTAGTTTGTTAAACACTATTACTTTAGACAATGTAACATTTTTTTCTGAGCTTATCTCCATGGTAACCTCATAAAAAGGCTTAAGAAGAAGCAAAGCCCCCTCTATGATTTCCCAACTCTGTTGGTCAATGATGAGATCAGAACGCAGAAGTGCTATAGTGGTGACCACTGCCTCCTTCAATTTTAAAATGCGCTCAAGCATATCATATGTCGCATTCCAACGGGTTGAAACATCTTGTTTCAGCTTCAGGGGAGATAAATTCAGTTGTCTTTGTACATCCATAAGTTTTTGAAGTCCGCGTGGGCTTCGGTTGAAAAACTCCACAATTGCTTTTACTTTATGTAAAACATCTGATATTTCTGCAACTCCATGTTGAACAATCAGGTTGAGAAGATGAGCAAAGCAACCTATTGACTTCCACTCTCCTAGTCGAACAACGTTTATTATATTTGGGGCATTGTCACTTACTACAGCTGCAATTTTGTGTGAAATTTGCCACTCAGTCATAACTTCTTTTAAAAAGTTGCATAAATTTTCGCTGGTATGCCTCTCGCTAAATTGCTTACAGCAGATCAAAATGGAGCAAAGATTTGTATTTTTGTCTATTAAGTGTGCAGTGACAGCAATAAAATGCTCGTTAATACGCGACGTCCACCCATCTGTAGTGAGGCATACTGCAGTTGATTCGGAAACCTTACGTTTTGCTTTGGCAAGTAATTCTTCATAAATTTGTGGTAAAATTTTTTCAGAAACTGTTTTCCTGCATGGGAGTTGGTAGTTAGGACAATGTGACACCATTTGAATCAGCCTCTTCATTTCTGGTTCCTCCACGATTCGTAGTGCATGATGCCCTTTTGCGATCATCTGGACGAGCTGCTTGTCGATTTGTTTAGCTTTTCTGCCCGTTGATGGTTTATCTACGTAATGTGAAATTGTTGGTTGCTCAGCCACAGTATGTTGCTCGCTCGTTCTCTGTGCTGGTTCTGGCTGTGATAACTCCCGCATTGCCTGTGTTGCTTTCTGTCCTTGCTCCTGCGCTGACTCCTTTTCCAATTGCCTCTCTTCACACTGTTGGTGCTCGATTGAGATGAACGGGTGCTTGGCTTTCATGTGCCGCTGTAGATTGCCATGCGACCCACATTTAAAACTGATATTTATTTGGCAGTACCGGCACCTTGCCTTCTTATCATTTACTTCAATGAAGTGGGACCATACTGCACTCCGCTTTCTCATTCCAATCATCTGCACATAGTAAAAATTAGTCAATAAAAATTTTCGATATTGTATAATAATAAATATACTTTCTATATCTCCAATTGACACAAATACACAATATGCAAATGAAAATATTTCCGTGAAATCTGCTTTTGGCGTACAAATAAAAAAAGGATTGCCATATCAAGATTTTTTGTATCTTTGAACAATTGGGAAAATTGTATAAGGCGCCTGCTACATGTTCAATATTTATTGTCAGTATTTGGATCGTGATCCAAAATCAGAACTAGTAGTGAAAAATGTAGTTCAATGAAAAGACCGAACTAGTGAGCTAGTTCATTGAGATGAACTAGTTCTTTAGTTCATTTAGTTCAAGAACTACCCAAGCCTACTGATTATTTACTTAGCTTCCGGAATATCCGGATTTCTCGTTTAGTTCTACGGATACTCGAATATTCGATTTGCCCGGATAGTTGAAAAGCCGGAGGGAATACCCAGCCCTAACATTGGCACATATATGCAATTAAAACTTGTTTGTGGTTATTTTTATTTAATTGTTTGTTTTATGATTACCTTGCAAAACAGAGACGTGTCCTTCATTTTTGATCAACAAATTTATTAAACACAGTCAACACTTTTTTTAATAATTACATATACTGTCACTAAGAGATTTATCCGAATTTCTCTTGCTTGTAATTTAAGTCTTTCGAGTAAATCGCAAATCAGCAGAACATAAATATTTTATTTATTTGCTCGCAACCGAAGACTGGCTATAAAAAATTATGTAAAAATACACAAAACTGATACAGCAATTGTATCCTAAAGGTATATTAGGTATTTATACGCACAGCTATAAATTGGCGTACAAATCTAAACAAATCGGCGCAACTATGTACATACATACGCATATACAGACTTGTGTACATGTACCCATAGACACGCTTTGTATGTATGCTTTATAGTACATATGCAAGAGACAATCATTAAAAGTCAACAAAATACTTGGAAAATTTATTGTGGCAACATAAATAAGCAATCCAATTGAAAATAAACGAAAAGGCTAAGCCTAGCAAAACGAGACTTATGTACAACAACAAAACTTATAGGGTGATGTGCTAAAGAAGCTGGGGACCGTAAATAACAGTTACTTTTTTTTGAACAGTTAAACTTGGCCAGATATTTTTAAGTGGAAAATAAAAGTATTTTCCTATTAATAAACAAACCGCTTATCCAAATGAAACAAGTTTGGTATCAACTGAAAGAGGACCAAAAAGGCTTTAAAACTGAAATGTTTAAACGAGGAAAACGAGCGGAAAGCCAGCTATTGAAAAATATTTCAATAAAAAATGTTTTTAATTACCATAGAAGAAAACTTGGGTCAGGTATATGCATTACTCTTGTATTAATTTATAAAAGCGAGTATAAATAGAAGTGGTAACCTTCGTTCGTTATTTCTGTTTAAAAGCTATTTAAGTCCTCTTTCATTTGGTACCAATTTTGGAAAATGGGCGTGGCACCGCCCACTTATGACCACATATATGTATATCGGTAACCGTTCCATCAATTTGTACCAAACTCGGTATGGTTATTGTGCTTGCTACATAAAAGCAAAGCGTTGAAAATTATTGAAATCGGACTAAAATAACGACCGCTTTTCATATAACGGTATATTTCAGAAATGCTTGAAACTGCAATATTTCGAAATTTAAGGACGCTAATTTACTCAAAATTGATACACCCCGGCTTTCCATGTAGGGGTAGCTTTCGGAAAGGGGAAAACATATATTTGATACTTGCGCCGGGTATTTAATGTTCGGCTCCGCCCGAACTTAGACTTTCTTACTTGTTGTATTTATGTATGTTCATGCACCAAAAAGCAAGTGGCTATACTAAGGGCCAATTTCACGGTGCGTAGTTAACTCAGAATCGACAGTTAACTAGAGATTTTCAGTACAAAATTCTGTAGTTAACTCCCGATTCTGATTTAACTACGCATTGTGAAATTGGCCCTAAGTAAGTTCATTTTCGTTGTAAAGAACCTACATAATTAGGTGGGCCCGTTTGCCTTGTTTGCAATATTCGTTTCGACGATCGTCATTTAACAATTTACTCGCGTGGCAAGTGTTGTTTGTGTGATTGTGCGTAAGCGTGTGCGTGAGCGTGTGTTACCATGTATATGTGGAGGAAGAAAGTTAAGCAAATAAATAGGTATTATAGAGTTTGCGCGGTTATCGACCGTCAGCTCTAATGTTGACATTTCCCCTACATGTTTTATTTATAAGAAGTCAGTACATACAATGATTTTTTTGGTGTTGGAAAATTTTTGGGTTTTTTTATACAAAAATGTAGCTTCAAAGTTCATATTGGTCTGTTATGACTCTGTAAGAAGCCAAAAAGTTTGTACGATACTATAAGTGGAAGCAAGTGGAAGTAAGTGTATATGTATCTGCGTATATGTAATCTTTAATATTTAACTTACTTCAATGTACACAGATATACATATAAAGATCTCTTGGCTTTTGGGGCAAAGTTTACTTTTGGTGATTTGTTAAATGTTTTTTCATTTGAGCCGTTTACTTTGAAAGTGGCATAAGTCATTTCCACCTCATTTTATTTAATGGTTGTTACTTCTAACTCAATGCATCTGCAAACAGTTATACCGTCATAAACTTATGACAAAACTTTTTGACTTAAAGCCCGTTCACATTATCGTAATTTACGGCTCATTTGTAATTTATAAGCAAATTATGCTGAAATCAAGTAATTTCACATCTGTAAAATCTGTCAATAAATTAAATATAAATGATATAGTTGATTTATCATAAATCAAGAACCAAATGAAGAAAAAAAAGAGTTTTCATTTATTTTAGCCCCCACTGTTGAGGAAATTTGGAAAAAAATGCCTAAAGGTATGCAACCATTTGTTTTTTTTTTGTTTTTTGAAATCAAGTAAAAACCACACACTCGTACGTAAACGTGTTAATCACGTACATATATAGAAAAATTGTGAAAGAAAATCTGGACTTACTTGATTTATGTGAAGTAATTTGATCGAAACAAATTAATTTATGCTATAATGTGAATATAGTTTTAGGCTGATAAAGTGTAATGCTGGATTTTCACTAGGCACTAAATGTAACGACAAAGTTGGGCATTGCAAAATATTCGTGTCACTACGTTAAGAAATTGTCTTTAAATTCAATTCACAAGGCATTCATTTTGAAAATGTCTCCAATTAAAATATAACAGTCGCCATCAGATACGAGAAAATTACCACTTTAGTCAAAGGGCATGAAACGACTTATGCCATTTTTAAAATAAACGGCTCGTTTAGTGTTTAGAAAATAATTCATTAAGCATTAATATGTTTACGTGTAAATATATTTTGTTTGTTTTGTCCTAATGACAGCAGCAATTGAGGTGTTTGTATTAATTTATTTGTAAAGTTGTAAACAAATGTAAATACGAGTAAAATACAATTCAACCGAAAATTGCATTTCATTAATAATTAGAACAATTCAGTGCTACTGGCTAAATAAATATTATGTTAATATGTGTGCACACTTGTGCATACGAAAAGTAACAAGTCATAAATATTTATCATATCGAATGAAATTTAATTCGTTAGATTTTTTTATTTATTTAAAAAGCAAGCAGGTTAAATGAGTTTAATCAGCTAAGGGCAAATATAAATGTTATGTAATTGAAAACGAGGATATTTGATATAGCCAAATTTCTATAGCTTCAAAACACACATTTTATTTTTTTTTGTAGCAAACGGTTCAAAACGGATAAAATACATTTTTAATCGATGATATATTTCTGATATATGTACATGCACACTAGGGATGTTAATCCCGCGATGCCGGCTGTTTTTTATTAATGTCTAGCCAATTATATATATGTACACCCAACACCACGCGGCAGGCAATTTTTGCACACACAAAAAATCCATATATTCGCGAAGCCATGGGCCAAATTTATGCAGTAAAATTGCGTTTTTAGTTTTTCTTTCTGATGTTAGGATTTTTTAAAAGGACTTTGAAAATTTAAAAATATGAGTAATTCAGAAAATTATTTAAAAAATTCGGTACAATGTATTTAGAAAAACAGTATGAGAATCAAATTAAAGGTAAAATCCTGTAGAGAAAAAGTAGATTAAATTTGTTGTTGCATAGGGTATTGAAACTGTGCTTTTAAAATGTTATCCTTGAATATCCTTGAAATTTTGTCATCCTTATTTTGAAAAATTATATGTTAAAGACTAATGTAAACTCAACGACGTCCTCGAATATAGTTCCTCTAGCTTTATTAGCTTAAAAAAATAAAATTGATTAAAGGGGCGTTTTCAATACCTATTCGTCCTTGTGAACTAAAAAAAATTTTAATTTTTTTAGATCCTACAGAATGTTCTCTTTCATTTGGTAGCCATTTTGTTTCAAACTTTTTTCTCCGAATTTTTAGATTTTTTTTTTTATTTATATGGAAGAAAATGCCCACCATCGTTTAAAAAATCGCCAAAATCAACGGTATTTTGCTTACTGCTTGAAACTTGCATTTTATCCAATTTTAGTTTAATGGGCTAAAAACTGCCTTCCTAAAATAATTTTAGTTGAATTTTTCTAAAAATGCTGAGTAAAACGTTTGAAATTTTGGCAAATATTTTTATTTTTTTTTTTAATTTTTATAATTTTTGTTCAAATTTTGAAATGCACATTTAAAACGTTACAAAAGAATTAATTAATTAATTTTGCATCGAGCTTTTTCGACATACACATCTGCAATTTCAATGAAAGTGTTCATTAAACATTTAGAGGAAAAGTATATGACGGAGCTGACAACAAACCTGGGAGTAAAGTTATATTTACTCAATATACGTCGATGACATCATATGTCTTGTAACGGCAGATAAGGAAGAACAAATTTATTTCAACTATTCTATTTCAACGACCAACACACGAATGTACATTTCACTATGGATAGGAAAAACGAAGGAAAAATTAACTAGTTGGACATAACAATTGAAATAAATAAGGTTACCAATAAATGCGAACTCGGGATATATAGAAAGGCCATAGACACGATAATACACAACTTATACTTATACTTCAAACCGCCCTCAACAGCACAAAAATGCAGCCTTTAGACATCTAATAACCAGTCTTGAACGAACCCCATTGGAAAAAGAAGCTTACAGCAAAGAACTACATACGATATAAGCTGATTTCTACCTAAGAATGTTTACACAGAACTAAAATTACTGGTTGAACGAAAGAATAATAATCCGCTTGGCACGGCTATAAATAGGACAAACAGAAACTATTAAGAAAGAAAAATGACACTGAAGATGGCACAACACCAAAACCGCTTTGTCTCCAAACCTAA